ATTTATTTCTCAAAAAGTTGAAAATGTATTAATATAAGCAGAAATAGTTTTAACAACAATTTATTCACTGCTTTTAGTCTCGATTTACCGCATCGTTATTTTTCGATACAATACATACATTTTTGGCTGTTCGTCTAAAAAAAAAAATAGAAGTATTTGGATATATCAATGTTCAGTTACCGTATGCACACAGATGTGTTCATTGTTCTTCGCATTGATATGTGGTTACCCTTTAGCAAATGCTATAATTCAATTTCTTAGTGACAATCTAGTCTGCCCTCATGAAATTTGCTAGATTATTGCAAATCCGTTCAGTTGCCCAAAAAATATTAGTGCTATTCCATATTTAACAGTGCAGATTAGTCCTTACAGTCATTTATTGATACACAACAATTAATCAACCGGTAAAGAATTGAAAAAAAAAAAAAGAGAGTAGAACAATAAAAAAAAAAAAACTGCTTACTTTCTACTGCTTTTCTTTTTGGTTGAAAAGAAGTCAATAGAAAAAGGAAATAGGGGTAATTTGTACAATGACTTTTTTCTTTTCTTTTCTTTTCCTAGTTATTTTTATGCAGATTTAGAAAACAAAAAAAAAAAAAAATTATACACCTTTTTCACTGTGCCTAAATTGTCACATTGTTAATGTACAACAAACAACAACAACAACAACAAAAAAGTGGAAACCAAGAAGAATGTATCACTCAGAAAGTTGCAATTACTTTAAACAGTCATTGAACATGTACTTTTGTTGTCAAATTATAATTCAATAACACCTAAAAACAATTGCTTAGATGATATATTATTATTTTATTATTATTATTATTATCATTATTATTATTATTGTTATTTGAGGTCATTTGCCATTTGTGTCAACGGCTAAAGGCGGAGCACCGTTGTCAGCCAAGGGCGTGGCTTTTGTAAAATACATATCCGTCTAGAAGCATCTGCATGGATGCTGATCGTTTCCGCTTGCAGATGCCAATTTCAAGCCGATTATATTCGGTTGCTACCTGTTTCAGTCTCTTTACTGATATTTTGATTACTACTTTTTTTTTTTTCTTCAGCCCACCTAAGTTTTGCAATCTATCAGTTGTCTGTTATAATGACTTGCGCATTATATCTGTTTCTTCTACTGTACATTCAGTAAATGTTTAGATCACTACACCAAGAAAGTTTGATGATAAACAAAACTCCACTTTCTTTTTAAATCAAGTTTTACCTTATTCTTTTCAAACATTGTTAAGTTCGAAAGAAAAAATACCTTTTCACCAGTCTCCAAGCGTTTAAATCTTGGATTACCGTACCAAATCTTTTCGTGCTTTCACTTATCAATTAAATTTGAAAAATTGGTTTTTCAAAATGAGGCCATCAAAACTATAATTTTTTTTTAAGCTAATAGTTCTGCTAAAAAATTACACAATTTTCTGAAGAATATAAATTTTGTCAGTTCCGGTACGGTAGTTGGAAAAGGATGACTGTATTTTAATTTGACTCTTCCTGCTTCAGCAACTGCTCATTTCCGTTCGTTTGAACATCAGTATAATGATAAATTTATTGTTTGTAATGAAAAAATAGTATTAGTTACACCTTTTTCAGCGAAAATTTTTCGAAAATTCATTATGGCTCCAACAACAACTTCAAATGATCAGATGACCAAAAACAAACTTCGAAGGCAGAAGGCCAATTTCAGAGAACGAAACCGAATGCATGGTTTAAATAGAGCCCTGGACATCCTTCGTCAATGTGTTCCGCTGACGACCCAACATCAAAAATTGAGCAAAATTGAAACCCTTCGTTTAGCTAGGTAACGCTTTCTTTACGCATTATAATCTTTCCCTTCCAATTTTTTAAAATTTGTCTAAAGTACAGTCAGTGCTTGATACCCCCTTCAAAAAACAATGAAACTATATGACGCAACAAGGGTGACGAACTTCTGAAGTACTCTTCAACTCACTTGATCCTAGTCACATCAGTCATTTTGGCCATAATAATAAAATTTGAACATCATCTTATTCACCAACTTAATGTACCCTCTCCAGCATCTTTGCTAAGAATAAAAAAAGACATATAAAATTATGCCAAACTAAAGCAAATTTGGAACCCTACGTTACCATTATTTTTTGCATTGTAAAAGCAATAACTATCACCACATATAATTGCTCCAAAAACACATAAACACATTGGACATGATACTATTAAAAAGTCACCCTATATTACTACATAAAACCCTTACTGTAAAAAAAAATTTATTAAATGATAAATTTTAGAAATTATATCGCTGCCTTGAATCATATTCTGAATAGCGGTTCTCAACCATCTCCGCTAGAATATGCTCATATGTTATGCAAAGGTATGAGTCAAACGACTACGAATCTGATCGCAAGTTTGCTACAAGTTCAACCACGGCTTCTGGTAGTGGCGCAACAGCGTAATGACCTTCAGAATCAGCATCCACCATTTTCGTTCCAAAATATGTCGCCTAACTCAGACAGTTGTACGTCGTCAAGCTACAGTCATGTACCACTGAGTCGTCAATACGGTGATTATTCACCGGCAAACCTGAGTTGCTGCAGTAGTTTGCAATCACAAAGTTCAGATATGTCATCCACAACAAACCCTGATTACTGCCAGAATCCAGAATTTGTACAGTATTCCGCTCTGTGATTTAGTAGATCAATTGATGGTTTTTGTAACCGAATCCCCTCCTCAAAACTCTTAAATCCGGTCATACAAACAATGCAAGACTCATAACCAAATCTTAACCTTTCAATTGTTTGTTTTAATTTCTCAAGGATTGTGATACTGGGTTATTTTTTCTTTGCGTGTCATCAACAGAACTTATTATTATACTTTGTAAATATATTACTTAAGCAATAGAAAAAAAGTCCTTCTGTTAATAATTACTGACATTTAAGAAAGGTCAGTTTAGAATCCAAAGTTTTTATCATTTTTTTTCAGTTTTTTGAAATATTGATTTTAAAAATGACTTTTAAAGAAGCGTTTAAACTAACCTTTCTAAAAGTCGTCTCGGTGAAACGTGTATCTATATGAATCATAAAAAAGCAGTAAATAACTGGCCTTCAGCAATAAGTCATACGCTTTCAATATTCGCAGTAAAAAAATTTAAAATTCTCAAATACTGCAAAGTTGACTGAAAAGACTAATTTGAAATCTGCTGCCATTAGAAGTAAAAACAATGATGTATATAGTCTTGTAGTATAACAGCAAGAAACTATACGAAGATCTCATTTGTACTGAGTGACCTGTGGTTTCAGAGTACAACAACTGTAGCTGATGTCAGATCCTTTCAAATTGTTATTGATTTATCTTACTGATGCACCGAACAGTTTCTAAAAAGAATACCGATTCAGCGAATACAAGACGGTAAAGGTTAGAAATACAAGAAAGATCTGGAGGACTAGAGTAAAAAAAGCTCAAATTATAAAGCCAAATGCATACTGTCATGCTGGAAAAGAATGTTTATTGCTCAGACCAAAGCATTTTCCGAAAAAGCGCATATTCCCAGCGGGTTTTGCAAGTAATTACCTCCAATTACAATCAGTCATTTACACTTTTAAAACAATTGCTTTGGCTTTTCACAGCACAACAATAAGGATAAGGAAAAAAATGAAACAGCTCCGCAGTATTTGGACAGTTGAGTTTAAGAAAATCTTTATGAATCTCTCCACTATAACCATCGTTATTATTGAACAAATAAATAAAATTGGAAATAAAACTTTTCCAACATATACAAAAAATTAAAGTTTAAAAGCAGTTTAAGTATTAAAATTTTATTTCATTATTTCTGAAAACTAGAAAAATTAGAACCATTTTTAATTATTACAAGTAACTAAAATAACTACCTCAAGAATTCATAAACACTTACCTCTGCTCAACACTTATCAAAATTCTTTTTCCTTTTTACAGTTTATAAAGTCATTATCTTTACAATTAAAATCTTAACCCATTTTAAAAATAAATTTAGTTATCTTGCTAAGCAATACTGTAAACCACAAAGTTAATTTTATGAAAGAATAGAAAATGCAAGTAATTACTGAAACGATTATGCATAATAGAATAAGCCAATATAAATCAATGTTGACATTTTGAAACGTTACCTCTGTAACCTCTATAATTATCGCCATTATTTTTTGATCAAGTTAAATGCATATTTGAAGAGCAAGAAAAAGAAACAACAAAATAAGAAAAAAGATTCTCCTGACAACAGTCCTGACGAGTACGACTAATACAATAGACCTATGCAAAGGGGTTCGTTTGAGACGGAAAAAGTTGACAATGGCAATAAAACAAAAACTAATTTTGTCATAAAAGATGATCGGTTGCCTGAACTACATCAGCATTAAACCTTTTAACTAGACTTCTACTCATTAGAAAATTGAACAAAGAGTTAATGAAAACGCAGGCACTTATTCAGAATCAAAACATAAATTTTAAATGTGAAAAGTTGATAAAC